TTAGTGGGAATGATGTGCTACTAGATCTCAGGGTGTTTATAGTGGCAAACTCAATCTCTGTGTTAGTATCAAAATCATCACTTTCACTGTTGGCAACATAATGATTGAATAGAAAAACTAATACACAGAGCATCACAAAAAGCACAAATGAAAAATGCATTTATAGTACAGAATTTGTTGTGTCTTAACTAAAAAGTCAGCACAAACTATAAGCAAATACTATTGATACAATTTAACTCTATAAGAGATTAATGAAATCCAACCATAATGATGACAATCATTTTTGTGAGTTGTTTTATACCCATAAAACATAATTTATGTATCATGTATGTATCATGTATTATGTATCATGTATTATGATGAGACTTTGGGAGAAGATTGCATTGCTTCTTCTTTATATTAATTCTAAAATACACTTTATTTGAAATGCAGAAAGATTGGAATAGGGAAATCAGAAAGAGAGAGATCTTGTGTAACTGATTAACTCCCTAAAGGTTCCAGTGGCTGGGGATAGGTATTACTGATGTCAGGAGCCAGGATCCATTTGCATCTCCCACATGGCTGTATGAGCTGAAGCACTTGAGTCAAGATCTGTTGCCTTCCCAGGTACATTAACAAAAACTGGGTCACAAGTAGATCAGCTGGGGCTTGAACTGGTGCTCTGATATGGAATGCTAGTATTGCAAACAGCAACTCAGTCCACTGAACCACAGTGTTGGCCTCTGCATTTTAGTCTTTTTTTTTCCAAGATTTTTATTGGAAAGGTAGATCAGATTTACAGAGAGAAGGAGAGACAGTAAGATCTTCTATCCTTTGGTAACAGCTGGAACTGAGTCTATCCAAAGCCAGGAGTCAGGAGATTCGTCTGATCTCCCACACAGGTGCAGAGTCCCAAGACTTTGGCCCATCCTCTGTTGCTTTTCCAGGCCATAAGCAGGAATCTGGATGGGAAGTGGAGCAAATGAGGAAGACAGAGAGGGAATAGAATTTTTCTAGGTGATTGACAATAAGTTGCAATCAAGTTAAATTTGATTGTTATAACACTGAAGTATTTTATGTAATTGTAGTAACTACAGAAAATGCATAGAATATATGAAAAGGATATCATTTCAAAAATTTCAGTGAAACACTAAAGAAGGCAGCAAGAAGAAATAGAAGGACAAGAAATCAATTTGATATAGAAACAGTATGATGAAACTAATAATTCGTATCCTATCAGAAATTACTTTAGATATGAATGAATAAGGTAATGTGATCGCTATACAATGGGTGGAATATTATGCAGGTTAATAAAGGGAGCAAAGGATTTGCTGCAGTGTGACTGAATCTTAAGGTTATTACACTGGACAAGATAAGCAAGTCCCAAAAGGATCAATACTGTATGATTCCAGTCATGAAAGATCCAGTGTAATTAAAATAAACACTATTTTATGACTATTATTCCATCACATATGTCATATTTTACTTATTTGTTCACTGGGATTACTAGAGACTTGAAAGGATGTTGGGGAGAAAGGATAGACAGAGTAAGATCTCTGTGTTGCTTTATTTCCCAATAACCAGAGGTTGACCAGGCTGAAGCCAGGAACCAGGAAGTCCCTTCAGATCTCCTATGAGGGTGGCAGGGATCCAAGTACTGAGACTGCTGTTTGCTATGTTCATTATCAGGGAGACGGAATGGAGAGCTGGGACTTACACAGGATGAGGGTATTCTAAATGGTACCTTAACCGAATGTCTCCTCCAATTATTTAAGTCTTTTGATGTGACATTGTTCCATCATGGCCTGATATTCTTTCTCTTATAAACTACACTGTAGGTGTCTCCATGAGCACCGGAAAGGCATACAGTTCTCAGCAAGGTATATTAAGAAGAACATAAAACAGTGGTTGCACAGATTCTAACATCTTGATCTCATTTATGCTGCTTTCTCAGGCACTGTCTGACCAACAACATGTATATGCCAAACTCAAAGCACTAGCAGTTGTTTTTTCCATCCTTGATTGGTGGAAAATACAACCACATATGCCTACGCAAGGAGAAGTGTGACTCAAAGAGTCTGAATCAACAGTACAGAAATGTGCAAAATTAGGTCTCTACGCTTTTCTGATTTTCCCTCTAACTCTTTCTGATATTGAACATCACCCTGTGGGGATGGAGAAAAGCAGCACAAAAAAGTAGGTCTTGGTGACCCACTGTGTCCTGCCACCAGTGGGTCCTGTTCCACTGGCAAGGGGTAAGCTGGGCAGAGCGAGTGGAGAGAATGAGTGATTACGATAGCAGCATTGACTGCATGCTTCCAAAGGAAGACTCAATTCACAGGTCATCGGCTCAACTGCAAGGAGGCTTCTCCACTTATCCTTCATGTGTAGATGAGGAAAGCAAGGATCATGGGGTGATGAGGAAGTGAGCCTGAGAGCATGCAGCTGGCATGTGACAGAGGTGGGACTGACATGGCCCTGGGGCTGCCAGGAACTGACTTTGCAGGTGTGGGCCATTCCCTGTCCGGTTCCAACACAGAGATCTAAGCTTAGGGAGGGACTGAGAACCCACTGAGAGCTTGGCCCATAGGAGGTCATCACACACTACATCCTGATGATTTTCGCTCATTTTTCTCATTGTTTAAAAATGAGAAAACCAAACACCAGCATCATCAATCAATGCTGTCTTTTGAAACCCCAGAGAATTCCTATCTACAACATTGCTCTCCACGTCCATGCCCTCTGCCCTGTTGGGTTTGTGCATCTGTCTTCCCCATCTGTGAGGTGGGAGAGGATTAGCAGGAACCGGGAACGGTTAGGTCTTCTAATTGGTAGAGGTCTTCAATTCATCCCATATGACAGCCCCTTGATGACGAAAAAATCCATCTTAATGACTGCTAGGATGATTTCCACTTTGTCCTAAAGAAATTTTTATTGTTCAGTTGCTTTTTATTTTTGACATGTGTGCTGGCTCTATTATACTTGCTCCCATGTTTCTTTTATGAGAACAATTCAATAGGGATAATAAATAATAGGAAAAGAATGAGAGCCTGGGATTCTGCGTCTTAGCGTGCAGCCAGTGACAGCCACCCCTTTTAGAGTTTTATAGGCCAGAACTCTACTTTGAGGAGCACGTGGGGCATTGTGCTCCACTTGGCTGAGGCTCAGTTTCCTTCTGTTTGTTCACCAGGCACAAGGATGCTGTCCTCTGAGCACTGGTATAAAAACAGGGCTAAAGAAGACGTGGCATATAGTAGGTGCTCAATAAAATCTAATCTCTTTCAGTAGTCACTTAATCAATTGTCAGGTTAAGTATCTGCTTTCACTTAACAGTATTATGCTTGAAAAAAAAATTTAAAGTCTCATTGTAGAAATACAGAAAGCTGGTCTGTCACTTCCCCTGCTGTTTTGTGTGGTAGGGCCTCCGGATTTTCACTGCCACTGCCAAGAGTTTGCAAGGTTGGATACTGTAATCTTAAGTCCTAGGATGACAGCAGAGGAACTAAGCTCACAGAAGTTCCGTTCAGTCCTTGGCACATTCCTCGCTCACGCTCTGACCTCTTCCCATCATTCTCGATTGCTGTTTTCTCATCTGTAAAATAGAAAGTGCAGAAATGTCCATTTTGTGTTCTTGCCGGGATGTGTCTGATGTTCCTCTAGCCACGGCAAGGTTGTGAGAGCTGAAGGCTGCATTCCCCAGGCTGCCCACCTTGACAGAATCTAGCGCATCTTCAATACCAGATCTTGACATCTGTGTTCAAGAGATTTATCTTCTGTGACACCATGGGATATTCTTCTCCTTAGGGGGTGTTAATTCCATTTAAATTTTTTCATAGTCCATCCAACACATAATAGTGTCCATGGATCAGCCATCTAAAGAGTCATTTTTTTTCTGAGCTATTGAATTCAACTTTACTTCTCTGTCCTCCAGACCACTTGAATTCCGTTTTCACCTTCCCAAGGGGTGTGTGTGTGTGTGTACTGGGTGGGGGTGAATCCCTTCCTTTGCTATTCCATCATTTTTCCTTTTAGGCCTTTTGAGAATTGTTATTAAAGAATTTGACTGTCAAATGCTCTGCTGTGTATTCACAGCATGGTGCGTTCATCGAAATAAACCCATCCAGAGCGCTTCATCATGGATTGTGCTCCTGAAGCAGGAACCAAAATAAGTAATGCTAATCTGTCGCAGGCCGTTATCAGATGCGTTTAAATATCTGCCAAGCAGGAATGTCGGTCCGCCCACGAGGAATTTCCATCCTAAAATCCTCCGTGTGGCTGAAGAGAATAGTTTTATGGAAACAAACAACAGCAAGTATTTACCCTAAGGGCAATTTTAGCTCAATTTAACCGAGGCTGCCGAGTTATTTCTGTCTCATTTCAATGCTTTTGTTGGGAAACATCACACATTTTTTACCTGGACGCACTCCCGGGAGCCCAGGAATAGCTCAGTGTGCCGTTCTGCTCTGCCAGACTCAAGACCTCGGGAAAAATCGGAAGGCTCCAGTACCTTCCCCTTCCCCGCTACCTTCACCTCCAACGGAGGGAAAAGGGTTAAGGATTATTGGAGAATAGAGCAGGGAGGGGGGAGCCCCGAGAAAGCCCAGGAGGAGCTGGAGACCGCGCCTCTGGGTCCAGCTTTCATCACCCGCGGTGCACGAGTGACTGAGCTCAGAGCGCGGCTGTGTATCTGGAGGAGGATGCGGCTGCCAATTTCTGGGACCTGCTGCGAGGAGTGGGCGTGGCCTCGCAGTGTGGATGCTTGTTAGAGGAGATGCTGGGTGCTTTTCAGTGAAGTGTCAGGGCTGTGTGTGTGTGAGAGAGCGAGAGAGCGAGAGAGCACGAGCAAGAGAGAGAGGGACAGAGAGAGAGAGAGAAAGAGAAGGAGGAGAAAGGGAGGGAGGGATACAGAGAAAGACTCAGGTGCTGAAGACTCAGGCGGAGCTGGGAGAGGCACTGAGAGCCAGGGCTGGAGCCCGGGAAAGCCACGCAAGCTGTTTTGCGGGAACCCGGCAGATGTGAACATGGGGTCTGCCATCGGAGCTATCCTCAAGGCACTGCTTCTGTTATCTACTCAGAATTGGGACCGAGTGGAAGCTGGGAATTCCTGTAAGTATACCGCAAATGATGAAAAAACTTGCAGGGAGCTCTCTGCAAAAAACTTTAATTCTGCCGTGTTTATGATTATTTGTTTGCCTCTGGAATTGCCACAAGGCATGTGGCTGTGGATGAAGCACGCCTGCTACTGTGATGGGTACTCGTCTCTCTTCTTGGTCTGGGCCGAAGAGGCAAAGTGCTTTTTCTCTGTCTTTCTTTTTTTCTTGTCTGTGAGCAGCATCTTACCCATCTTACCCTCTTGTCTTTGAATATTCATTGAGCATGCTCAAGTTCTAGTAAAACATTAAATTAGCATCTTAACCAGGGAAGAGCCTAGGAATGTCTTGATTTTATCCCCCTTTTTAGGACTACAGGCTTTTATTGGAATTATGTCTAATGGGAAAGCAACTGGCAGACTTCATATTATTGCTGCATTCGATTACGTTTCTGAAGTTTGTGATTTGGCACACTGGCGGCTGGCTGCATCTCCAAAATGATGCAGACTAATAACAGGAATGCACTGCAGCCTCCAGGAGCAGGCAGACCTCAGTGTTGTGATCTGGGTCCCCAGTGCTAAGAGCAGGCCACTTGGAGCGCTTGGGGAAGGTCGGGCGAGGCGCTGATGGCTACATTTTGCTGAAAGGAGGAACATTCTGGTGATTTGTCGAAAGTGGAATGCTTCAGTGGTTGAATTTTTGACTGCACATCCTTGTCATGGAACCTCCTGATCCTGTGTCCATCAGTTTAGGGATAATTTATCACAATCCTATTGCTATTTTAATTACCATCCCAAAGAATTTGGCTGCCTTCTTCATGCACTTTTTTTTTTTAACCAGAGATAGAAAAAGTTTTAAAAGTTGCCAAATGGGAGAAATCCCCCTTTCCCTTCAGTAAAGGACGGGCACACTCAGTGAGCCCAACTTTGGGTTCTTTCTTGGATTGTGAAGGGAAAGCTCATTTGCTTTTCATGAAAGGGCAATGAGGCCTGCTCAGGAATGTGTGTTGCTGCTGCATCACCAGGTTTAGACATGGGGGATGGAAGCCAGTAATCGGGCATTTACGACATCAGGGACTTCCCATCACAGGCCTGGTGTCCTTTCTCCCCGCGTGACCACTGTGGTCTCCAGTCCCCAGCAGCACGGGTTCATTGGACCTATCACTCTGAGAGAATGTCGTTTCACTCCTGGTGCTGCACTGTGTTTCAGATTCAGTTTGAAATGTGGGTCTGGGGGAATCCTGCAAGTCAGTAAGGTGTGTATAACTTCACCTGGTTGAAATCTCAGAATCCTATAATGGCAGCATTTGTAAACGCTGTAACAAATAAATAGCAGCAACAGCTTCAGCATCACAGACTCCCACATTCCAGGGAAGTTTTGTAGGAAGGGGGTGCTTGGTCTCGCAACTGCTGAAGTTCAGTGAAAAAGGAAGGCACTAGAGGTCACTCTTACAATATAAAGCACAGTACCTGGAGCTTCTTCCCCCAAGAAAAACACAGTGTAACTCACCCAGACTCAGCTCTGTCTGTGGCTTTCAATAGTCTGCTCATAGTTACAAATGCATGAACATGATCAATTTGGCCAATAGTTGTTTATGCTTGTTTGTTTTCTAGATAGAGTCCATTGCAGACTAGCATCAAATAGCTTTCCTGAGTAAAGTGTCGCCTTCCTGGAGCTCCTGAGATCTGCCAAAAGCATAATAATCTGCATGTCTGGTGGGCTGTGGGTGAGCCTCTTGTTGATGCTGTAAAGATCAGTCTTGGTTCTGTGTCTGTGCAGCTTTGATGTGTTCAGAAAGTAGCTCAGGGCTCTTCCAACCTTTGATAAAACGAGGAGCCCCAAACATTTTAAGTTGTCGGAAACCCTTAAATACTGAAGTTGAGGTTATTGGTTACAATGCCTCTGAGGGATTGCCTGTGCTTGCAATGTCAGAGCATCTAATTAAGGTCTCATTTAGTAATTTCTAGTTGATATTTTGGCAGTGTAATTTGCAGCAATGCACACAAAAGCAAATGCTTTATTTCATAAATCCAAATTTTATTATCCAGTATTTGTAAGGGATTTTGTTTTTGGAAACGTCATGGTAGAGAATATTTCAGATGGACAAGTATATATGTTTACCAGTGAGATTGGAATTTAGTGTGAAGAATAGGCAGCCTTCAACCAGCAAAGCATTTAGAAATGTTATAAGAACTTCAGTAATTCTTCTAGACAAGACTTTATATTAAGAAAAGGTGAATCAATCTTGAATACCCATATTGAAGCTAGGGAGAACTGAATATAAATAAAGAAAATTAAACTCTCTCTCAGGTGAACACAAAGACCTTTTCTTTTTATTTACAGCTGATTCACCAGGAGCAAATCTGTTATCCCCTGAGTCAGCCAAAGGCTTCCCATAAGAAAGCTTTCATGGCCCTTGGCAAACCAGACATTAGGCACACTTTGAATTGAACATTAATTGTTCCAGTTAATCAGCAGGAAAACTTCACATTACAAGCATTCTGTTCAGGTGAATGCACATACATTTACATATATGTACATGCACCTGTGTGTGTATTTATGCATATATGTAATGTATAGGCTACTAGACCCTTTTGCTTGCACATCGTTGACGGCCGTGATAGGTGCTCAGTCGTCGGAAGTTGGAATGTGTTGAGTGGCCCACAGTGTTTGCCCATGGATTTTCTCATCTCTCTCGCTTTCGGAAGCAGCGCACTAGCTGAAAGTCTCGTGTTGTCCTTGTACTGGTCAAGATGAGTTTCTCGTGATATTGAAGCGCCTCTTTCATGAAAGTTTGGAGACAGCTCCTTGGAGGATTTGTTATATGAAAAGCTTCACTGAGCCTTCTCCACATGATAAGAGGCATACACAAAGGAGAGAGAGCCGTTTTGTAATTTCTCTGAGAAATTCACAACTCCTAGATGTTGAGGCATTTCTAGCTCTGGGAGAGATCAACTTAGCACAGCTAAGCAGAAGTGTGCAGTAGGAAGAAGTGGTGAGAGTCTGTGCTCCCTTAGTTCTTGTCAGCCATCTGATAGAGGCTGTCTAGCTTTGGGTATACCCAGTGTTACTCTGAGAATGATTAATGCTCATCACAGAACTGACGAATAACTTAATTAGAACTCACTGTGTTCTTACTTTTTTCATTTGGAATAAAAGATATGTCTGCTGACTATCCTAAAAGAAGCGTTGAAGAATATATTAAACAATCAGTAACCAAAAGGTAATTGCCTGAATCAGTGATCACTGTGCACTCTGAGATGCAACAGAAAAATGCTCAAGTTGTTCATGCTCAGCCTTTCATTCTTCCTAGAAACTTCTTCTTACCTTTCCCCACATCCAAATATATCGAAAAAGTAGCAGGAATACAATAGGAAAGTATTGATATAACACAATCTATGCTGGACTATATACAGTTCATCCATAGCTAACACTTGATGATGATCAGTGGGCATGTTAGCTCTTCTCACAGGAATGGCGATTGGTTATATTCATTTGGTTTTTTCTTCGCGCTTCTTAGTGCATGCACCCCAAGTCATTTTTGATAAGGACAGTTTCTAGCTCTGCAGAAAACATGTCTCTTAAGCTAACACAAAGCTCAACTATGACTTCAATGTGCATTTTGTGCTTATTCATAGGGAGTAAACATTATGGTATTACGGAATTAATTTGGGAAATTAAATTGGGAATTTGTGCCATATATAGGTTCTTCAAAAAGTTCATGGAAAGTAAAATAAAAAGCTTATTTAGTGTGAAAAATGTGAAATTGTGGGGTTTCTAAAATTCATTTTCACAAACTCTTTGAAGAATTTCCATATAAATAGGTTGTAAAATATTTCATCACCAAAGTATACTTACCTTTAATTCCATTTCAAGAAACTTTCTGATGTGCCCTTATGTATGTATAATTTCTGTATTTAAATAATACATGACACATGGATGATGTGTAAACTGTGCTACTATGACAAAGTTTGACACCACTCTGTACTTATTTGGGGTACTGAAGGTAACAATACAAACGCTGGCAAACCTTCAAGTAAATATTTCAGTCCCGTTTCTTCAGAAATTTTATTATTTCGTGAGTATGAATTTTATGTAATTATATGGATAGTTTTAGTGGTTTTGGGTACTCAAAAGGGTGTATGTAATCCCAAGTAATTGGTATAGGTTATTCATTAAACTGTACAAGTAAGTAATTTCATCTTCGATATTTTGAGCAAAAATTCTAATGTTGCTTTATGTTTTCATGAGTATAAAATGTCTCACTCCATACCAATCAGAAATTTACATTGAGGAAACTGTTCTCTGTTCTTACGAGAAGAATGCCTTTGTCTATGGATTCTAAATCAGAAACTTCCATTATACTAGATGTTCTGCCTTTGCCTATACTTACAATACCGTGACACACATAAATAGCATAAAGTTAAACTTATAACCATTACTAAAAGACTAGGCTACTGTGATAATATGGGGAAAGTGGCAGAGGAAAAAAGGAGGATGGGAAGGAGGATGTAGGGATCTCTATGCCTACAAAACTGCGTCATGGAAAGTGACGATAACAATAGTATTGATAAAATGTAAAAATCCCCTACAGATATAGCGATAAACTGGAGAAATTCTTTTATAATTTATAGGTAATGTCTTGTGTTTTTCTATTCTCATGCTAAGTATCATGGCATATTTATTATGTGAAATGCAAGAGTATTGATGTATAATGTTGTAATGTATAGCATGACTATTTTTAAATTGTATCCTAGTTGAACTCTTTTCCTAATATGAATTATATGTATTAAAAAAACAGCAGCTTCCTAAAAATTCTGAAATTGGCAAACTTTCTAGAGTAAATTGAAAAAATAGATTTTTGTTTAAGCCCTATCCACTGAGAATTCACAATAATTAAACAAGCGCCTTTCACCTATTCATGGCAGTATAATTAATTTGTATGTAAATGCCTTGTCCACTTGGAATTGTAGTTACTTTTGGTTTCCAAGAACTGATCTTTGGACTCATTAGTTT